CACCGAAGGAGAAAAGCGGCCTGGGAAAGTTTATTTGTGATTCTAGCCAAAGCTTTAGATCTATAATTTGACTTAAAAAATCTGAACTGGATTTCTAGATTCGTAATCCTGCACTTGATCCTCATCGGTGAATCGGTTCCAGATTGTGAGGTGGAAGAACTATCGTACTCGGGATCATTATGACAACTATACCTAAAATTAACAGTTCGACAACAGTTTATCAAAGGTATGGAAAAGTCAAGGAGTTTGTTTTGGAACTTGGACCTATGAGAAGAGTTTAGTCAGAATACCAGTAAAAAAGTTTAAGATTAATTTAGATAACAAAATCAGATATCTGAACAAACAAATAGGCTGGTCTTTGAGTAGTTTGTCACCTTGCAAAAATTTAAATGAATAAGTATTTCTTTTTGATAAGTGTTTTCCTAAGGCTTTAAAGCTTTCGTTTCGAGTTAAAAAAGCGTTTTCGCTCTTTACATTTCTTCCACTCATTCGCCTTTAAAACAGAATCATTATAAGAAGTGCTGTTGGTATCACTTCCCAAGTTAGTACTACATCGCTCCTTCCAAGATCAAGTAGTACTTCTTTGTAGTAAATGACCAATACTCTTTTAAAATTGTTTTAAGTGTTTCGAAAAAATTTCTGTCACAGTAAAAGTATTAATTTACTGACAGAGTACGTCAATTAACGTTAAAAATACGAGGGAGAAAATTAGCTGGAAAGGAACCTGTTAAAATATTCTGCAGACAGTAAAAAAATACGAATATTATTCATTCGTCAAAAGGAAGATAATTTCTTCACCGCTGTTTATTTAGCCCGTTCCTTGCCCACCACTTCTGTCATTTTGTTCACTTCATTTGTCGCTGTCTTTATTTACAGCAAAATTAATTCCACAAATCGCTCTCAGTAAATTTCTGTCTAAAACGTGTCTCGCTAAGGAAAGGAATTTACTATTTTCAAAATTATGGTTACATCACAAAATGATTTTCTAAAACATTAAATAAAAAGATTTGTATGTCAGAAGCTACAAGAAATTACTGATTACTGAGAATCAAAATTTACTATTGAAACAGAGAAACCTTTTGAAACTGCGTCAAACTGTGGTCTTTCTTTCCAGCTTTCCATCAAGCACCTCTTTAACATCAGCCTCATCCACGCATATGATCCTCTCGGAAAGGAACGACAAAGCTTACGGCGAATTTCTTCGTTTTTTTCATTATTGTAACAGACTTGAGAAAAAACTGCTTGCGTTTTCATTCTTTTTTATTCAAAGGACATTTTCTTCGATTGTTCATTTCCTCAAAAAAACAACTTTGCAAAAGTTAGAAAAAAGACTTGACATCTCTCTCAATTTTTATAAGGTTTTATCTACATCAGCATTTCACAAATCACAGCTCCAAAAATTCCGTACACACCACCCCAGAAGTCTCTAAGTGTCTTTGAAAAGCTGCTCTATAAGGTAGAACTGGTGCTACAAAAACTATGTAGCTCTTTCGAATCTGCAGAAGTTTGCTAATACTTATTTTTTATGTCATCCTGAAAAAGTAAAGGTGGCAGAATTGTAAACCATTTTGCAGTGGTCACAAAAATTTATCCGAGATTTTATCCACTTGCTTTAACACTTATTTGGTATAAAAAATGCGAGAGGAAAACACTTTGCAACAAAGGTAAAAAACCAAATTAAAGTCAGGTTCAGCAGAAAACTAAACTTTTTTCATGTCCTAGTGAATCTTATCCCTATCAGGCACGCACTGTCGTGATAAAATTTTCAATCTCATAGTTACAAAACAAAACTACATCCGAAAGAGGAAGCCCTCTTGATACTTCGCTGAGGATTCCCAAACCTCACTTCCTCAAAACCCTGTAAGAATTGCTAAGTAGCACTTCACTGCGCTTGAATAACTAGCTGACTTGCCAAGATCTAGCCCTGCTGTCAAAAAAGACATATTAGGTACGAATAAACGCTGGGAAACGAACAATCCTCCTTAGAAGAGTTCTGTACGAAACAGCCCGAACGCTTTCTGCAGGTTA